TCAACTTTATAAAGTGATACAACTGCAATATCTTAACACTGTGTTACAACATTTCGGCTGCTCCTAAGTGGGCATTTTTAAATCAAACTTTTGGGGGAAACGATTTGAAAGTAGCTGCTAGCTTTTGTGTAAAAAAAAATTAAAATGACCAAAAGGCAAAGCTTAGAACTTTGCTTAAAGCTTTGGTTTCACACATGCAGAGGATACAAATGTATTTACAGACAAAATTAAACTAATGCACAAAGGTGAACACATCAATAGTTCAGTGTTTTTATTAAGTGTACTGTTAATCACAAATACAACAAAGGACAGGTTCAAAAGATAAAATTGTGAAACCCTACATTCACTGTGCCTCTAAAAACATAATTTAGCCAATCACACAATCAGACAGGCTTGGCTCAGTCAGCCCCTTTGTTATCCAGCCAAAGCAGCCATATTAATTCACTGTTTTGGCACACGGTTATATGCATACTAACTATGGCCATGGGAAATGATAAGGCAGGATAATGTGAAGACCACACTAGCTGTCTCCAAGCTGAGCCAAACAGCCAGGAGAGATTGAATCGTCTGAGCTTTTTGACATCACTCACTTTTTTAATTACTCCCTTTGAGAGCACAACTCCCCTCAATCCTCTCCTGACTGGCTTTTGATCAGTGGGAGCCTACAGAGGTAGATGGGTGTGTGTGTGTGTGTGTATACATAATTAAGTAAAAGTGAGTGGGGGACACCTGTATTGAAGCTGTTTATCAATAAATCATCAGAAGAGAACTAGATGCTTGAAAGGATGCTGAACTCATGGGGCTACTGTCGGATGGATGATAGGTAGAGCTGTTTGGTCAGACTGCTCTCTAGTAGAAGCACAAAGACAGCAAGATTTTTCTTAGTGTAGAAAGTGGCTCAGAATTAGCCTGACAGCATTAGGAAAGCATTAAAAGTCTCTTAAATGCCCCTTCAGGCAAACTGCCCAGTTTTCACAAGCTTAAAATCTTGAGCCAATAATTAATTCAGTTCATTTTGCAGTTTGTTTCTGGTCCAAGACTGAGAATTTAGGTTTTTGTAAATGGAAATGAGCACAGACTGATTTGACTGACAGTAGAAAGGTCAGTGATAAGAGTCATACTTGCCTGAAAACAAACATTCAATTGGCTGAAAAGACAGGACAGTTTGCCCTAATGTCTAGCTTTACTGAGACAGAAGCCTGACAAGAAGATTTAATATTAGGGGTCATACAGTACAGTAGATGGCCTTTAGCAAAGGTAAAAAACACCCTCAGGCTAATACTACAGGGCGTAACTTTCGTTCATCAACTTTACAGTAGGGCATTCCCTTCTTCAGAAACATCACTTGGATTGTTGCAATGATCATGCTAGAATATATAATTCATAGATTTTTTTACCTCTAGCAAGCCATGCCAATGGCTCTGTGAGACTTCAGCACAGCAGTGCTTTGAGCTAAATGCTAACCACAGCATGCTTACATCCTTACAATGACAACACTAACAATTTGGGTGTTTAGCACAAAAAGCAACTGAGGTTGATATCGTATTAGCACAACACTTTCCTATGTGGCTCCAGATTTATACCAGTGTAAACTTTTTACCCACTACACCTAAGAAAATATTTGATTATCAAGTACATGTTAAAATACAGTAACGTAGGCTACGACCCTGTTCCACCATTCATTTTGCCTCCACACACTGTCTTGCCATCATATTTTAGCTCGTAACTAATCATGGATGTATGCACAACGTTCATTAATGTGACTAAGAAGCAGGCTGACATTAAAACGAAAACAAGCCTTCCTTTACTACAGTCATTAAGTCGATTCCTGACAAGAGATTGTTATCTAACAGTCAATCTGATAGATAGTGATCTCAGCACAGAAAGCATCATCACCACCACTGAACATTAACTCAGCATCTTAAAGCCAAATAACTGCCATCTGTCACTAGCCCCTCTTAATTGAACGCAGTCTCATTTACATACAAAAGGTGGGCACTGAAGATTATTAAATAATCCTTGTAAACTCGGGTCAGTTTTAATATGGCCAGAGTCATTTTGAAATTTTTGTAAATTTCACTGAACGCCCACACAGAAAAAAATATTTCTGAGCTAACATGGTAGAAGAGCTTTCATTTTGACATTAACAAAAAAAAAATGACTGGAAATCCAATTGATAAATATTTAATCAACAGCATGTAAACAGCAATAAACTGAATATTGCACTTAAATACTTGCTAGCTCAAGCCACTGTATCTTTAATATCACACCCAGAAAATGAACAGTTTTAAGTAATAATACATGATACTTATTCCACATTTAGGGAAATATCCAATTGGATAATAATAATGAACTACATTTGAACCGCTCTCAAGGGTGTGAGACAGTGAGAAAAAGTAATTCACACAGTATCTCGATATACCTAGATAGTTCTCTCATAATTACCAGTAGGTATATGGCATTGAAAGATGAATGCTCGCTCGTTTCAGTGCCTTCTTTTTCATCGTGAGACATCTTGAATGTCAGTGTGATTAAAGTGGCTCTACTGGAGAGAGAACAACAAGCTTACTTATGAAAATCCCATTCAGTGCTGTATCGGCTAACAACAGCAATTTCGTTGTGTGTTTTAGTCCTAAAAAGGAAGTGATGTGGGGATGTGGTTGCCCTTTTATTTGATGAAAATAGTCATACACTGACAACACTAAATGTAGTCTTAAATGTTTTGTCGTCATTATGAGAAAAGGTGTTTGTTGTAATGAGATATTTCTCCTCTTCGTTTAGAGAGTTTCCATTATAATGAGACGCGTTGTTGTGATAACGAGATACCCCTCCCGTTATCTGAGAAACTATAGCAGCTCTGTATACAGTGATAAAGTTTTGTTTATAAAAGAAATCTGACATCCAAGCTTGACTGTTAATTTACAGGAAAATGATTGTGGGAGCAGAACAAGATATAAAGTATATGCAAAACAATTGCAAACAATCATTAAAGGGAACTAAATTATCAGCAGTAGACAAATCAGTGTCCCCCCGGGATTTAAGGATCCTGGCACATTAGAGAAGTAATCATCATCCAGAAGTCCAACATGCCAGCTACATTCCCCAAGAGGAAATGCTTTTCATCGACTCTGGTTGAGATCCACTAATCCATAAAGGAAAAGTCATTGCATCAGTCGATGCCCTTTATTAGAACACCACTCACTTAATACTAATATTTATAGTGCATTTATGTCACTTTTTTGTAATTAAAAATTACTCATTTTATTTTGTCTGCTTTATTTTTTAAATTTTACCAAATGGGCCAGCAATGCACATCCACAGGAGCCCGAAACTGGAACCTTTGCATGAAGTGTTCCATTAATCCTTCAATATTATTTACATTTACTAAATCCAATCCAATATTTATTCATTGACTTTTGTTTCTTTTTTTTCCCAGTACAACTGCACAGTTTATACATTAGCTACAGGGGCCACAAAATAAATGCGTATAAACTAACTAGTTTTTCAGTAGCTCAACCAGCTAAAAAAAGTGTCCTCACAGTCATTGTGTCCACTATAGCCACAATCCTCAAGACCCAATGTTAAACAAGGTAAAGCTTCCAAGTACCATTGTTAACCTTAGAATGCATTGTTCTCTCTCCTCCTCTCTGTGTAGAGCACAGTATTTATAGAAAAATCTGTACACACAGTGTGAAATATTTTAATACATTCTGTCAGTCATCACCAGTTCCTGCAGAAGGATTTGAATTATTAACATGTTGTTGATGCTTCCACCTACCTTGACCAAATCCTCCAGCTCAGAGGAGTTTACGCAGGTGTGTGTGGCCAAGAAGTCCAGTTTTTCTGCAAGAATGGCCAGCTTTTGGGAACTCTCATGAGGCTGCTCTAGTGCCCTGAACACCGTCGCCCCAACAATGAGGTAAAGCACCACCAAGAAGAAGATGGCTGACACAGTTTTCCACCTCATGACTGTAGTCCGGGTGTCACACTCGTCATCATAGTCTGGGGTGTTCAGCACTACCGATTTGGCGGAGAACGAGAGGCGAGGTTTGGAGTTGTGGGCAGCAGACTTCGGGTCAAGAAGGTCAGGTGCTGCCACTGAAAGGATGGGAGTGATTAATGTGGATCAATTTCTTGCCATTACAAGAGACTCACCCTGGGTATACTCATGTTAGTGTTGCCTGTAACCAATGCACCCTGAGCACTAAGATCTGATCTATCTCTATCTATATATTAGATTTATTAGATATAGACACAAAT